ATGATATCTAAATCATATAAATTTACACATTTCCATATACTATATTTTTTGATTCACTACTCCCTGAGAATCATATTAGAGATGACAGATTCAGTAGTTTTTGTCCATTTGTACAAATATACAATTCAAGTCTTTGTTTTAAAAAATACAATACAAGTGGATATATTTAGTAGAAAATATCTAAATTTTTTTGAAACACTTTTACAAACTTTTATATTTTGTTTTAGACAGTCCCGTTTTGTCGCTAATATTTTTTATTATGTATAAAAAAATTTATTTTTATAAAACTTTAAGATTGATTGCAATATAATTAGTAGAACTCTATATTCTTTTAAGTACTAAAATATTTATTCATTTTTTAGCATTTTATGATTGATTGATTAGCTTTAAAAACATATATTTATTTTTTAATACAATTTATTTATTCATAAATTTTATACAAAATAATATACAAATGTGTATAAAATTATATAAATGTTTTTATTGGATTTGTAATTTAAATTAACTAATGACATGAATTAGATAAAACTTTAATTTTCATAACACAAACACAACTGTTAAATAATAGCCATTATTTGTCAATATTATTGATTAAATAAAATAATTATACTCATTATATATGCTAGTTATTATTATATATTTATTGAATATAATAAGATGAAAATAAATTGTATATTCTGTGCGCTATTTATCAAAACAAATCTTTATTCATAGCTATGTTTTACATAATTCTCTAGAATTTATACACCAAAAATCAATAACAAATAGAAAACTATTCACAACAAATATTATTAAACAACTAATTTACATAAAAATATAAAATAACTAATTAATGATTACATCAACACATGAAAAGTAAATTAATTTTTCATTAAACGGACTGACATTTGAGAAATGCTGTGTTTCTCCGAGCCTTTGATTTGTTGTGTCAATGCTTTTGTTGTACTCTTTTTACCGAAAGTTGTTTTAAATACTCTATTCTTCTCTCATTTTTATTTTTCTTTACTTTTTTGTAGTATTTTTCTTTTGCACCGTTTGTTCATTAAATGCATTCATTTAGAAGTATTTTAATTTCTTATATTGTATTACACTTCTTATATTAGTTTAGTTTATCATTTTATTATTATCTCAAATTGTTGTAACTTCGTTGACTGCTATTTTGAAATAGATTTGTAAAAATAATTGTTTTTATAGTTTGGTCACTAAATATTTAAAGAAAATAAAAATAAGAAAAATTGGAAGTCGTCTATATTTTAACAACAGACACAATTTTAATAAAAGTTTAATCTAGCCTTCGTTGAGATTACCGATAAGATTATAAGGAATTTTCTACTCTTTGTAATCAAAAGAAATATACTGTACTTACTATTTCTATACTTACTATTTTTGTTGTTGCCATATAACTTCGTTATTGTAGAAATCAATTATAATTTTACAATTATTCTGTCTTATGTGCAAGTTTAACTTTTATTCAATAATATCGTGATAATTGATTTAAATATTTTGGATATACTATTTAAAAACCATTTTCTGTTTACATCTGTAAACTTAATTTAATAATGGGTAGAGAGTATTAAACCTAAACTTATATTTATTATGTTGTAAACCTTAACTCAAACTACTGTAATCATAAAATAGATAAGGATTATATGATATCGATTTTTAAAGTTTGTTTTGTGAACACTTTTGTTGGCATCATATTTAAGGTGACATTAAAATATAAGTTCACTGTATGGCTGACCTCAACATTCAGTCGCAAAATTGATTTTCAAGTGAAGGATTATAATTCTGTTTTAGACCACTCGTGTCCACTATTTTTATAAACTATATGACAATACTTTTTCATACGACATCATATAAACTGTATGATCGATATGTTCTGATAAGTGAGCAAAAGATAATTGTCATCAACTCTTCAAGTATTATATGAAACGGACAGTTATTTCCAATTTCTTTCTATTATATTAAATATAGAGTATGAGACCAAATAAGACATATCTTAACTCAAAAACTTTTATTTTCAGTTTATTTATAATAAAAAGTAGTATAATAATTGTCAATTGTAGTACTTCTTATGTATTGTTTGAAGTGTTTATATATAAACTTATAAAATAAAAAGAAAATTAAAATCTTAACAATTATTAGCTGTATATACAATATGATTGAGTACTGAGACCAAAACTAGTAAAGACTTTAAGCATATTTTTCATACAAGTGTGGATTTTACTTTTATTTTACTTGAATATTTATTAATCATATGATATTCAAACATTTTAGGAAATATTTCTAGTTTTAAAATAACATTTTCTTTTGAATAATCTATTCAATAAAATCCAACCGGATATAAAGGTAGCAAAATGTTGTGTCAAAATGTTTATTCAAATCAAACTATTTGATAGGATTTCAGATTAAAATAATTTATTTTTTTGCTAAACTCTCGACTAATTGCGTGAGTTTTTCAATACTCTTTTCGGTTCGGATGCGATGCGAGACTTTAGCCAACTTTTGGGCCAATTTTCTGTCGTCTAATAACCTGTCGATGGCTGACAGGAGTTGTTCATCAGTGCACTCGTATGGGTTAAGCCTAATACCGAAGCCCTTCTCATCAATTCTCTGCGCGTTGTCGTATTGATCGTAAAATAGGGGCAAAACAAGCATTGGTTTCCCGAAATACATGGTCTCCGTCACCGTATTGTTCCCGCCATGAGTTATGATCAGTGAGACGATTGACAACACCTTTACCTGTGGGACAGTCCGCTCGCCCCACATGTTGTCCGCCAATTCGTACTCATTATGTTTGACGCCTTTGGAGATAATGAACCGGTGCTCGGATTTGGCCAGAATTGAGACCAACCTCTTCATGAGTGGCACATTCGCGCCGCCCATTGAGCCCAACGACAGGTAAATGAGTTTCCCGGACCTGCTCTTCAGTTTGTCCGGCAATTCAAACGTCTCCTCATCTCCGGTGCGCTTAAAGTAGTCAAAGCGATGGAAAGTCTTGGGCAGAGGTCTCACATCCGTGTAATCGAGTTCTTCGGGAAACATATAGATGTTGGCGAAGGGAGACGGAGCCCAACACAGACACTCTTCGGGCAATACGGGACAGTCATTGGCGACCAACCATTCCTTGTATTTAATCCAATTCTCTCGTCTCGATTCCTTCAACTGCTGTCTGTATTCTTCCCATAGATTTTGGTCACTATTGATAGACAAACCTAACGGACCAACAAATCAATCATTGATTTGATTGTCATTTAATTGAATAAATTTTTTACAATTTATAAAATTAAATTAAATTATATCTCAAACCCAATAACGATGGAGGAAGACGTTTATCTTCGTATCCTACGTCCAGCGATAACGGATTACTACTATAACTGAAAATCCAGGGAATGCCAGATCCAGCGACTGATGGCAGAGTTATCACGTGATCAGTGATAATAACGTCGGGTTTAATCCGTTTAATAATGCCTTTGAGAGCCGACTCATCCTTATCCGCGTCGACCATACAGTCCTTCAGCAGAAGAGCACTGCATTCGATACCCTTCTCGAGAGGACTCTTATTCTGCAAAACAGACTCCAATTCTTCGGCGTTTTCAGCGGCAGAATCGTCTTTCCCATCACCACTCCCTTCCGCCAATAACTCGACCTCAAAGCTAAGACTTTTCAATCTCTGCGACCACTCACTCCTCACAGCAAATATAACTCGATGTCCACTATCTCGGAGGACTTCACCCATACCCGCACTCGCCAGTATAGGACCCACATAATTGATAGGCGCAAAAAGCACGGTTAGTTTTACACTCATTTTGTTAGTCAACTAATTGTTCGCATATTCAGTAAATGCCTTAAAACTAGTATTTATATATTTGAATTAATTTTTTATTTTGTCCTTCAAATATTTTCAAACAATATCTTTAATTCAATATATCAATCAATTTTAGTTTAATTTAATTCATTTTAAAAAGTTGTTTAGATATTCATGATTTGTAAAAGATTATACCGGTATGTTTTGGAAAAATTTACTAACTCTAAATATTTATATTCTTGTCAATTATGAATTGATAAGTAATCATTAATATCAACAAAAATCAAAAAGAATAATAAATAAAATTACTCTATATATTTGATTAAAAGTATCATTTGGTACAAATTTAAAATAATAATTTAAGATAGATATAACTAATATTTATTCCATAATATTTAATTTTACACTTAATGTTACTCTGCACTTAACGCTATAAATTTTTATCAATCACTATATTAATAATTTCAAATTAATTATTAATTTGTCTTGAAATTTTATCTTAAAAATATAACAGAGTATGTATTCTATTGATATTAAAAATAATTGAGAATTAGGAGTGTCCTTTTTTAATAATAATAATAATTAGTATTATTCTTACAAATT